CTCTTCCCCCAGCCTGCACTCAGCTACCAAACTGCGGCCTCTTGGATCTCTGGATGTGTGAACGTGCTTCTGTGAGACAGGAGGGATGCCAGAAGAACACCTAATAACACCTCTCCTTTTTGCCATGCCTCTCAGATGCCTGTGGGTCTCTGGCCTGCTAAAAACTGCTGCTGTTGGTGGTCTGAAGCTTTTCTGATGAGCCATTTCCCAGACGGGAAAGCCTGCAGACAGCTCCTGCTTTTCAAGGAGCTGTGGGGGGAGATGGCTGTTGGTCCCTTGCTCCCCAAAGATTGCTCCCTGGCTACACTGTGCTGAGAAACAGCAGGGGGGCTTGATGTGCTTGGATAGTAAAGTAGCAGGAATCATGTCACAAGAACTAAAAAAAGAAAATGTTAACTGGAAGGAAAATAGAAAGTTCTTTCTCAGCAGTCCATGAGAGTTTTTCATGAAAAAAACCCCAAACCCTACATACATATACACACACACACACACACACACATATATGCACACACAGCCTGGCCAGGCAATCACAGTGCATCACACGCCTGAGACTCTTTACTGCACAGTTCCCCCTTTTCTGCCCCACTATAGAGCTAATACATGACCCAAAATACCATGTAATGAAATGTTAATTTTGGAAGAGCTAGCTCCAGTAAATACGTGAAAGTGTGAATTATACAGGAGAAAGCAGATACAAGACTGTGAATACAACAGGCAGAATATTATTTTACTCTGTAAACCATATACTCATAGACCTTTTCAAAACAGGCATCAAACACTATATAATGGATATATTTCTCATCCTCCCCCACACAAGTGAAACAAAGCAAATTTATGCTGGTTCCTGTTAAACTTGACTTCACCTGATGTATGTTAATTCATTAATACTTCGGGTAAGTATAAATCTAAACAAAAAAAAATATGGGTTTTCTATTAATTGGCATTACTAATGACAGTAAATATTGCTTGTGCTATGTTGCACAAAGAGGGAAAGTACACACATTTTAAATTCCTTAGGAGGACTGCAAATGCTGGAAATATGAGGCCAATTAATAACGGTTGTGTGAATATCTGAAAGACTATGGCAAAAACAAGACAAACATAAATGAACCCAAGAGAGACTCAAGACTTCACATTTCAGGAAAAAAATGCCTAGCTATTCATAGACAAAAGAAGCTGAATTTGCTAGCTAGAGTTTTGTTCTGATTTAATAGCAAGCACTCATCTGTACTCCATCCTTGTAGTTATCAGTTAGTGCATGCTGACAGGTCTGTAAAGGCTCTGTAGGAATAACTGAGTTTCTTCCAACTTTGCGTGCTGTTGGGTCTGTCCTTATGTAGAAGGCTTATTAATGTGCATGCTACAATAGCGAGTACCTCTGACATTTTACTCCGAGTCCTCACTGGTCTTTGCTGGCCTGTCTTGAAGGACAGGAGGACATGTATCAGCCTTCCCTTGAGCACATTACAAAAGCTGAACTGGACACCTAAACTTTTGCACAATTTTGAGGACTCAGTGTAACCGGAGAGCATGATCTAAACTAGAATTAGCCTTACTTCCTCCTTAACCATCTTTTCTCTTCTTGCACTTAAGTGAGATTGAGGTTTCAGTGTGAGAAACATGGAAACTATGCTTAGCATCTGTTCTGCTACTCCTCCTGTGAGCCAGGACCACTGATGTCAATGTACCAGCAACGACTACAGGTTATATACGTGGTCCTTGCATATCCTCATGCACAGAGAAAAGTTTTCTCCAACACATGGATGGGAGTTGTGTGTTGAGGGTTGGCAACTGCTGCCTTTCTTCCTCTCAGTGAAGAATTTCTGAATCCACTGACCTTGCAAGACCTTGCACTGACCTTGCAGTGATGCTGAACAATCAGAGCTGATACAACCTGATACAATCTCATGTGAAACTCATCCTGTGGGAAAGCATAGAAATAGCATGAAGAAATATGAAGCATTTCTCAGCTATACAAGAATGTTTGATAACTGCCATAATTTGGTATCTCCAAAAAGAGACAGAAAAAGTCCTTCAGCTGCTCCTTGCATGAATCCTTTCATCATGTCTTTCCTTGATTTCTCTTTACTAATTAAAGCCTTCAAGCCTTAACCCTAGGTAAGCTGTGAAAGGAAGGCTCTATCAGCAAACTACTGTACTGAACAGCTGACAGAAAGCAGCACGGGTATTTCTTTCTTAAATACAGGGACTTAAAAACATGCTTTTTGCTATGATTGATTCTAAATGCAAGCTCCTGGACCAAATGTAATATAAAAATTGTCAGCATTCACCGTTGTGAAGAATAGCCACATGGTCTGGCCACATATAAATGTAGACAAAACTATTAATACTAACATGTTTGGCAAGGGTTTTTTACATATGGATGCCAGTTCTATTTCTAGTAAATACTTTTCATTATTCATTTACATGTTAATCTTTTTTTCACATCAATATTAATGCTGTTTCTGGAGCAGTTTGGCAACATCAAGCAGTAAATGGGATAAAGTAAAGCAACGTAAATGTTAATAAATATTATAAAATAGATTCATTATAAGGCTTCTTTCCATCTTGCCAAGGTTTGTACTTTTATGGTAATAATTTAGGAGTGAATGGGTCATCTTCCTGGATTTCGCATGACAATAACATATTCTCGTGACAGCTCAGAAATGAAGCCTTTCATTTCTAGTAACCATTGTCCGGGGTAATGTAATATGAAGAAAGCAACACATACTGCTTACAGTGGCAGGTGGGAAAGGTCTTTCATGCAAGTCTGTGAAGTAGAACTGTTGGTAATATTATCCGAGGTCAATACTGGACAGGATTTTCTTTATTTCATCTTCCTTTCTCCACATACTTCCTCTCATCACATCACCAGCAAAACATAAAAATCTCCTTTATTTAGTTTTTTTTTTTTATTTTCTGATCACTTGTACTATGCAAAACCTGGCTTCTCATTTGGACTTTCTGTACTAATGATAAAAGAACAAAATGTCTTCTCTATTTGGTTTTGACTTATACTTCACTGATAAGTTAAAAAAAAAAAAGAATAACAGACTGACAAATTTGTAGAACAATAGGTACAGCAACGC